GGAACAGCCAGCCAACCAGGAGCCCCATTTTAACAACCACAAACTAACACAGTCACACCCTCTCCCTGGAAACTAACAGCCTAGGGCCAGAGGATAATGCTGTGTTGTTGTTGGCCCCAGTGGAGGTAGACTGGGCCAAGAGAAGAAGCCATTTTGAATGAACTCAACCTTCTTAAATCTCTTTTGGCCACTGAAAAATCTGAGAAATCTAGTCTCCAGGGAAGAGGAAAGAATATTCCCAGTGGAATGCAAATATCTTTTTACCTCTCTGCTTTACAGCATCCCGGGGCTTCTCAACTTACTTGAAATAAAATCCAAGAATTTTCCAAGATGGTGACATCACAGGTGCTTGTTTCACACAATAGCCTGGTGGTTACAGCAGACAAAACAATAATGAAATGCCAGGGAGCGTCCGTAGCTCGGCTCCTGGTGGACTGAGGAAGGGATCAGCCTTGATAACAAGCTAAGACTACAGACAAGCCAGGACTGCAGAAACAGGCCTCAGACGCCTCTGAAATCTCTGGCTTGTGAAAAGACCTTATAGTAAATGTTCAATTTTTGTCTGTCAACCCTCCCTGCTTCTTTTTCCTATTTATTTTGGAAAAAAAAGAATTCATTCCTCTTCTCCCCACTTTGAGACAGGATCTGCTATAGCTCAAAGTGGCCTCAACTTCCATTATATAGATGAGGGTGGCTTTATTACTTTTGGCAAACCCTTAAACTGTCCAGAAATGACAAAGGGCAAAAAAGCCCTTCTACCTTCCATGTGGCTACTGTAGTCAATATTTCTCCAGCTCTGAATCAAGATGCTATTTTTCCAGTTTTGCCCCATGTAAATATGGGATTGTTTTATTTTAGGAGCCCTGTTGGGTGGAAAATTTATGTCTAGATGGGCAGATAGAACAGTAAAAAGCCCATTCTGAGAAGCAGGGATGATGGAGATTGATAGAGCAGACTCAAGGATCCCCCATCACATTTATTCCAGGCACCTAACTGCTGAGCCCTTATACTACTGAAATTGCTTTTGCTCCCCGTGGACTCTGTAGAACAGAGTTTGAAGGCATCTAATACATGTAAGATATAATTCACCATATGGAAGGAACTAGTTATTATTATAAGGTAGTCTCACAGTTATGTGTTCTTATAAACACAATAATTCGCTCTTAAGAAATTTTATGCTGGACCCCAAAATGCAGGAAGTCACATCACCTATGGAACTGTGACAGTCTGTGCTTTGACACGAAGCGAGCATGTATTAACCAAGGGTCTTTGCCACTGGTCCCATGCTAGCCAGTCAAAGTGACATCTTTGTTTTGAATTTCAACGTATATGTTTTTCACTGATATCACTTGAATAGTAAACATATAGATCAAATCATGGGAGTCCCAATAATAACCAATGCTACATGAGAGCTTGCTAAATGCTGTATAGTTTTCTAGTATCTTTGTGTTGATTAACTCATTTAATTAATAGTCCCAACAATGATTATCCGCAGTTTATAGATGAGAAAACCAAGATCCAAAGAGGTGAAGGAGGAGTTGGGAAGATGACAGTTGGTAAAGTGCTTGCCATATGAGCACGAGGACCTGAGTTCTCAGGTAAAAGACTGGCTTTATGGTGTACGCCTTTCATTCCAACACTGGAAGTCAGAGAGAAGATCCCTGGAGCTTGCTGACCAGCTAAATAGATGAGCTCCTGGTTCAATATGAGGCCTTGCCTCAAAAAAAAAAAAAAAAAAAACAAAGGCAGAGAACAATTGAAGAAGACACCTGATGCCTCTTCACACACATGAACACACATATACATACAGATGCATACCTTCAAAAACACATATATACCCACACAGAAAAGTGAAGGATTAATTAACTTATTTTCATTTTAGGTGTATAAGTGCCTGCATGTATGTAAGTGAACCCCGTGTCATGCAATACCTGTGGAGGCCAGAAAAGGGTGTCAGATCTCCTGGAACTGGAGTTATGTATAGTTAGCTGCTGCCATGTACTGCTGGGAACTGAACCCAGGTCCTCTGTAAGAGCAGCCAGTGGTCTTAACCGCTCTCTCCAGCCCCATGGTGCAGGATTTTTAAAACCACATTTCCACATCTCAAACCCAAGAGTGGCTGTGGTTACTCTGAGACTCCAAATAGAGGATGAATATAAAAATACCTGTTCTGTTCACAAAGATGATTTTTTAAAATAACTACCAGTTATGAAGCTCTCATCCAGAAATCATAATAAGGGATGCTCATGCTTTTTCTTCTTTCAGTTGTGTGAACAGATACAGAAACTGAGGCTCAGACAAGTTAAGTGACTTAGTTGTGGAGATGTAGCAAAGATTATAAAATAGGCCACGTTGGAGCTGGGGAAATAGTTCCATGTGTAAAGTGTTTGCAGTGGAAGCATAAAGACCTGAGTTCAGTCCCCAGCATCTGTGTAAAAGCTAAATGTGGCATCACATGCCTGTAATCCCAACATGGCAGGGGCAGGGAGACTGTAGGATCCTGGGGTTTCCTGGCCAACCAGTCTAGCTGAATTGGTGAGCTCCAGGCTCTGTGAGAGACCTTATCTCAAAAAACAAGGTGGCCAGGGGGTGGCACAAGCCTTTAATTTCAGCACTTGAGAGGCAGAGGCAAGTGAATCTCTGTGAGTTCGAGGCCAGCCTGGTCTATAGTGAGTTCCAGACCAGCTGGGGCTACAAGTGAGGCCCTATATCAATAACAACAACAAAAACAAAACCAAGGTAGAAAGTTACTGAGAAAGACACATCTGGCCAGCCTCCACACGCACACATACATGTGCATCTGCTTGCTGAGAGACCACTCCATACCTGGTAGGTTAGTTAGGATTGAAAAGCCACAACATCAAGTGTTGGGAGGATGTGGAGAGACTAGAGCCCTCCTACTCTGCTGGTGTGAGATTGTGAAAAGGAGCAACTGCTGTGGGAAACAGCCCAGCAGTTGCTCTGAATGTGAAATGCAGTTATCATGTGACCCAGCAATTCCTCTCCTAGGTCTATAACCAAAAGAAAGGAGGAGGACATGTGTCCACATGAAACACTATACACAAACATTCATGACAGCGGTATCTATGATAGCCAAAAAGAGAAACAACCCAGTGTCCATCAACTGATGAATGGGTAAATAGTCTACCTATACAGTGGACTATTAGCCATAAAAATAGTATAAAGCAAGAGCTGGCAGATGGGGAGGAGAGCAGTGAAATGCCATCTTCTGGACATGACACGACTGTTGCATGTACCAACTCAGAGCAGCTATGGCTACCTGCACAAGACCTGTACAAGATGGAGCCAGTCAAAATTCCAGCAGGGAGGAGCCATTGGTAGTTGCAGGATGCAGAGGGAGGGAGCGTCACTCTCCTTGGAGGCATGGCCACTGGTAGGTTGCTCATGTCCCACTGGCAGGTTGCTTATGCACAAGGATGGCCACACACCCAGGTGCAACACTAATTGGACTCAGAGGGTTATTAATAACAATTTAAAGAGTTGGAGGAGATAGTGATGGATGGATATGATCAATACACATTGTATAAATGTATGAAACTTTCAAAGAATAAAAAACATTACTGAAAAAGGTATAAAGTGCCAGTACATGCTACATTGAAAACTTACTAAGCATTGAGAACTTGCTAAGAAGGAAAGACCCAGTCACGGAGAACCACATACTGCATACTTCATGCATATTGTTATGGGGTGCTTCACCAGAGAAGCCCACTCAGACACAGTTTGGCTGAATGAAAGTCGTTGCTGACCAGGGCTACTACACAAGGGTGTCAGAACCCAAGTGTGTAGCCCCAAGCCATCTCTAAGGTAAGCTTTTATTTTAGTGTTTAAATTTTTTATTAATTTTTATTGCTTTTTTTTCTTTGTGTATTTCATACAGAACATCCCAAACAATCTTATTCATCTTTATACTTTCATCCCAAATGGCATTCTCACATAGCCTCCGCCCCACCACTGGAGCCCATATACTCTGTCATCCCTGTTACTGTCCACTGTGTTGTCAGTGCCCCCAGCTCTTCCACAGTGCAAATCCATCCACTGAGTCTAGTCCAGAGAAACTGTAACCAGGGGTGAAAAGTTCAAGTTCCCAAGCTTACAGGTGGAAAATCCCCTTAACAATTTCTATTCTATTAAGCAACAATTACTATTTTGCAGAAGCAAGCCAAGCATAACCTATAGAAACCATAAATCTGCAGGTAGCAGGTGCTCTCCAGGACACTCTTACCTGTTCCCAAGACAACCCTGGGCCAACTGCCTGACAATTTCAGAGACTAGAGTCAGCCTAAACTTTAACATGGCATAGTTATGATCAAGAAGGTGCCCTATTATAATATGATATATGCAAAGTATAAGTCCATAGAAATAGGAAATGGATTAATAAGTGTCTGAGCTTAGGGAGGTTGAAAATGATGCCTAAGAGATGGAGAGATTCTTTTGGGGCTAATGAAAAGGTTCTAAAATTCATTGTGATGACCATTGTACAACTCTGTGAACACACTAAAAACCATTGGCACATACACTACAAATGAGTGAATTGTACAAGGTATGAATTGTATCTTCACAAGCTGTTTTAAATAGATAGTTCTAAAATGATATTTACAAACCTGGTCCTCTTCATCCCCCTAAGCATGACGATGACTCAGATTCATCAAGTGAAATTCCAGCCCCTACCTAGGAGCTCTGGGTGTTGGCCTGTGTCTCCCAGCTTCCCTAGGCATGCCCAGCCCTGCTCACACTGGCAGGCCTTCTGACTGAAAGGAGCTGAAAGGAGGCACACAGCCAGCCTGCCTTCCTCGCTCTGTGGTTTCCTCTTACTGCAGCCAAGAGCAGTTTCCTTCTGCTGTTTCCCCCCAGCCGACTGTGAAAGCATTTCTTAGATTTGAAAACCACATGGAGTCCAACAAATGCATCTGTAGACACACCCTGGGATTTTCTGTACCGTCCAGCACTGCAGAGATTTGCCCATCCCAAGGCCCACTTACCTGACATAAGAAAAAACGATCACATGCAAGATCCATTTAATGGTGCCATAATTCGTGCTCTGGATTTGGGTGACTTTGTTTGTTTCGTACTGCAAGATGTCACTCCAGCTGCAGCAAGCCGGCATGGTGAGAGGCTCACTCTGTTCAGGCTGGGTCTGGGATAGACAATCCCAGGCTAGACCACAGCAACCCTCCCACCACCACCAATCAGGGACAGTCAAGTAAAATGCACTGATTCTTAGTAGGAACATTTAACTTTGAGCTCCTCCAATGACTGCAGTGGAGGCGGGCCCTGGCAGCTGCCCCAGATGTGAGTGGAATAAACAAGAACCAAGTACTACAGGCCTGACTGGCAGATGATCCTGCCCCCGCTGGCCTCCCCCAGACGCCTGCACAAAGATGGTGTTCAGAAGACAGGCATTTTTAGAATTCTCCCTTTTCTTCCTTTTCCTTTGCTCTTTTGAACTCATTTCATTTAGGAGCAAGGGGAGCCCTTCAAATGTCATGCATGAGACCCAGTAGTTCCACTGTGATTCACAAAAGGGCCTAGAAGTTTCTACTGCCACAAAGCCCCACTCAGATATTTTATTTTTTCTTTCTTTTTGTTTGTTTAAGACAGGGTCTTCTATAGTCCATGCTAGTCTTGAACTCCTGATCCTACTGACTCCATCTCCTGAGTGCCGAGATTACAGGCACATGGGACCACGCCTGGCAAAGATTATCTGATTCATTTTTTCCAGCCCTTTGTTCAGTCCAGATGTGATCTTGCACAGAGTGAATGAATGTCTGCTTTTTCCTTCCCTGCTCCTGGTAGGCCAACTTGGCTCACTCAGCCCCAGATCACCAAGAGAAAAGCTGGAGTCCAACAAAACTAGCTTTCTTGGCCATTTGGTGAGGGAGACTACCTACCTGAGGAGCCAATGGCATCACCGAACTTGAGAGGAGGTGGGATCATTGCAAGATTCCCAGGAAGGTGGTACTGAGATGAAATCTCAGTGGTTTGGTGTTTTGAGACAGGGTCTTCTGCCTTGAGTTTGCTGAGTAGTTGAGGCTGGCCTTGAACTCCTGATCTTCCTGCCTCTGCCTACCAAGTGCTGGGATTACGATTGTGAGCTACCATGTACAGCCTGAAACCCTGTTTGAATTGGCTTAAAGGAAAGCAGGGTTGTACAAAGCAGGCAACTTTAGACATGCATGGGTTGGAAAGTGAACCCAGGGCCCTATGCTTAATGAGGCCAAGGTCAGCATTGAATGAAGCATTTGAACACCCTTTATCTGAAGGCAATGTCTCTGCATCAAGACTGAGGATCCTCCAGGCAAAAGTAGAATGTTTCATTCTTGTTCAAATCATCACAGATAGCAATGTTTCTGAGGTCTGACTTTAGAGGGCAATGCTCCTCACTGACAAAGAAAGCAACAGACACTCAGGTGTTATGGCTTCCTAGCTAGGGAGAAATGTTCTCTATTATCTCTGCAGCCAGCTTGATCCGTTTCTGTTATTCTAGCCTAATTACTGGTGGCAGATTTTCACATTTCCAGTCTGAGCTCATTTGAACTTCCTCATCTCTGTGATCCATATCAGGAATTCCACCCTTCTGGCTCCATTTCAGGAGACTGAAGGGCAGAGAGGCTAGATGAGTGCTGTCATCAGTCCTCCCTGGCTCA